CCCGTCAGCTCCTCAGCGAGGTGACCCTACAAGAACACCACTTGAATCCTGAAACCACCCCTCGCTCTGACTGCGGCCCTGATGGCCAGCCGGAAGCCCGCACGTTTCCCCTTGGGGCTCAGGTGTCAGCGTCTGCTCCAGGCGCTCATCAGCGGCGTGTCGTCGGCGTGGTACCGCAGGTCGCCCGTCGTGGAGCAGAGGCTGTGCAGCAGGGCGGGAGCTCAACCCTCGGCACCGTCTGCTCGGGCCCGGCAGGCCTGCCACGCTGCCCGCCAGGGGCCGCAGGTCGGTAGCTTCATCATTATCCGTGAAAGCTTTGAGGACAGCGACTCCGACACCGCACTGCGGAAGTCAGGGGTCAGCGCTGAGCTTGCCGCCCGAGCCATCGCCAACGGCATCCAGGTAGCCGTCGGACGCGCGCTGACTCCACGGAGTCCCAGTCGCCCATCTGCCTCTCGACGTCGTTGGCCCCGTCGGGGTAGGCGCACCGCGTCCAGCTGGCGGGCGGCAGGCCGCGCAGCCACATGCAAGGCGCCTGCTCGTGGCCATCAATGGTCTTCTGCGGCAGGCCCTGCCTGGAGGTGCAGTCCTGGTAGCCCTCGTTGCAGGGGCACGTCCATGCACGGTGCAGGAGGGTCTCACGCTGCCCGCAGCGTGGGCAGAGGTCGTTGTCAGCCATCCCTCGTGCTTGTTGCCGAACTCGCGTCCTGGACCCACCTGCCATGACCTGCAGCTGCAAGGCCCAGCCGCTGTGGTCACCATCTCGTTGGAGATGGGCCAGCTGGTGCTCGGCTTGGTGGAGGTCGGGGCCCTCCTGGAGCCCGGGCCCGGCGTCGTGCTGCACACGCCTGGTCCACATGTCCCGCTTGATGCGAGCAAAGAGCTCGTCCAAGAGCTCGGTGTCGTCGACTTCATCTGCGTCGCCCATCCGCCACACCTCCTCGAGGTCCGATTGCCAATCGACGGCCGTAGGCACATCCCAGCCTGCTACCAGCAGCGTGCTTATGACCGCAGCGATGGCCCCTTTCACATTCGCCCACCTCTTGGCTGGCGGCCTGCTCTGGAGGTCCTTGCACATGATGGCCCGTGCTCTTTTGACCCGGCTGCGGTGCTCAGGATGCCGACGCCAGAACTGCAACCACTCGGCCATCAATTGCCGTGCCAGAGCTATCCCAGGGCCCTCTTCACCTCAAAGCCGCCCGCCGTCTCCGCTGGCCGCCACCGCCGCCTAAAGGCTCGCGTGCACCGCAACGCGCGGATGCCCCGGAGCGACCTTCCCTGGCGCAACCGACTGGGGCTTCACCTTCCGGCCTTGGTGGGCTGGCCGCACTCCTCCAGAAGCTTGTGCGGTGAGGGCGTTGGATAAGAGACCCTTGCATGAGGAATCCAGGGTCTGAAAGCTGGTGGAACACAAGTTGAGGCTGGACCATGGCACAACCGCCCCCATCAGAGAAGAAATCCTCCAGAGTCTGAAGTCTCCTGGTGACGCTCCTTCCCGCCGCAGTTCTCCGTCCCAGGCATGCCACGAATCCCGCGAGCCAGCACATCCGGAGAAGGGCGACTTGAGCCCTGACCTTCCAGAGAGCTATTTTTCAGCACGAGAGGCCTACAAACCTAAAAAACGAAACGAAACAGCCCAAAATCAAGACACAGAATAGCTCTGGGATGGGTTCTTAAGTCGCGTGCTATTTTTTAGCCCTCCCGGGAGGTCAGGGTTGAGACTCCGGAACTCGGGATCGGCTCAGAGCCGGCCCCCGGCACCCTCCCGTGGTCCACACGCACCACCTCTCCGAGCTGCGCCCCGCCGTGGCGACGAAGGCGCCCCCCCCCCCCCGACCTTCCAGAGAGCTATTTCTTAGCACCGGAGACCTAAAAACCTAACGAGCTGAGCGAAACAGCCTAAAGCCAAGACGTAGAATAGCTTTGGGGTAGGTTTTTAAGTCGGGTGCTATTTCTCAGCCCTCCTGGAAGGTCAGGGCCCCGAGGGCCAGCTGCCGGTGTCTCAAACTCGGGAGCCGGGCAGGGGCTGCTGAGTCCGTGGCTGCTAACGTCGACCTCCGGGAAGTTGTCGTCGTCCTTCTGGGAAGGGGCCCGTTGACTGTTCCGCGTGCCGATTGTCGCCCTCCCCCTTTCCTCCCCCTCAATGGCTACTTCAAACTTCGCGCGGCCCACTTAGCTTCGACCGGAAGAGGTGCGCTCTCGACCCGCGAATCCAAAAAACTGTTCCGCGTGCCGCGCCTCATTCCGGGAAGTTGTTTTTTCCTTCCGGGAGGGCCGTGTTAGCAGCCACGGTCTTAGCAGCCCTCGCCCAGCTTCCGACAAACGGCCCTCCGCTTCTAGACACGCTGGTGCGGGAGAGGTTGGGCAGCCGCCCTCCTACGCACGGGCAACATGTTGGCGTCACCCGCCGTGCCCGCCGCGACCGGCGCTGGCGCCGCGCAGGCGCGCCAGCGCGCCAGTGCTGCGCTGCTGCGCCCCGCCGCTTCTCGTCGGCGAGCGA